AAATCTCACTGACAGGTTGAATGAAGACCCCAGCCCAGGGAAGGGATGGTTCCTGGTCTGGGGGGGGGGAGAGAACCCTTTGATTTGCAGCTAGGGAACCAAGAGGACCTTGCTGCGTCACGCTCTTCCACCTGCCCACCACTTTATCTAAGATGTCAGCTTCATACAGCCGTAAGTTCCTGGGGACTGTGTGCATGCGTGCATGCACACACGTTAAGGAGCATTTTTTTTAATGCAGTGATTTTTGTCTCACCTGTCACAACCCCCCCACATCCCCCTCACTGCTCCCCTAAACCCCCATTGGTCAAGGCAGCAGTCCTCAGTGAAGCCTGTGCAGAACTTCGGCAGCAAATTCCCAGCCCTCCTGACCCTGTGTGGTGACGTCTGTTAGTCCCCACCAACACCTACAAAAAAAACACAATTGGGAGCAGATTGGGGGCGGGGACCGAGAGAGAGAGGCAGGAAAGGTGCAGCAGAGTTGTGCTTGTGGGCGGGGTCATCAGATGGAAGAGGAGCTCTCGATATTGTCGAGAGAGATCTTGCTTGACTTTTCTACCTGCCCCATTCAGCAGACCTCTAGTTACAATTCAAGTGTCAATTTTAATTGCATCAGACAGACAGGTTTTGCTCAGTGCAGCAATGTGTATGCGTATTTGGGAAGGGGGGGGAGGCATTGTGCCAACGGAGGAGAGAGACTGCTCCCCCCCCTCACTGGGGACGCTATGTTGCTGGGCATCACCAACCAAGGCGCCACAAAGAGGGAAGATGCCTTTGCCGCCCTGTGCACACTCATCCGCTTCTCTTGCAGGCGCTCGCTGGTACCAGGTCCTGATTTCTTCGGTGATTGCTAGGGGTAGGGGAGGGAGAGAGGCCGGGCTTTTTCTTTGCCTTCTTGCTGCTTTCTCTTCTGCCCCCCCACCTGCCCACAGGGGTGAAGGCACCGGAAGGACTGGGGACAGTCCATGGTGAAATGGACTTGATCGAGCCAGCAGCCGTGGGCTTCCCCAGTGACGAGACCCACCAAGAGGCTTTATCTAGGGAGGAAGAAGGAGACAGTATAACGTTAACCGCTGGGATACTAGTAAAGCCGCAAGAAAGCATCCTGCCCACAGTTGCCAGCAATGCTACAAATGAAGGATTAACAGGCTTTCACCTATGCATGTGCATCTGTATTAGACAAGGCTTAAATTATAGTTGACTGAAACGCAAGTCGATTTAGTATATATGTGAGCATATATTTGAACTTTGGGTTGAATTAAATTTTTTGAGAGAAGTACATTCACTTCATGCCCACGCGTGGAAGGCCTACCAGGAAAACAGCAAACAGCTAAAGCAAACCAAGGTAAGAACAAAGCATTAGGGAATGGAGGCGCATCAGTTAGAATTGGGGGTAGAGAAAGACACGTGAAAATTGGCTTGTTCAAGCACTAGGATCCAAAGCAGACAAAAGAAATGTATTTCTTCTTGCAGCATACAGCTGAATTTCCTCTAGCACCCAACTGTGTAAACTGACATGGCCACCAGCACAGAATGCCTTTCAAGCCAGGATTAGATAAATACACGAAGACTGCTGGGAGCCAGAATTAAGCACAGCTCTGGGTGACCAGATGACAGGTAAGTAACAAGGGCTGAACTTCTGTCCTTGCCATTTCTACTGAAGGAAAGAAAACAAGGCCCCCCCCCCCCCAATGACAACTGATTTTCCAAGGGCAGCTCGTAAGTACGTTTCCTTTCCACTTGACCTAGGACAGTACATGCTGTCTCTGTTGCATGCATCTTTGCTTCTGCCCCAATAAACTTTTCTACAGACTCCTTACAGCAGATTCAGGGAAGCGGCCAACACATAATCCACGACCTCTTCAGGTCTGGAAGTGAACATGGTCAAACTTTGCTTTTGATGATCCCTAACCACACAATGCAAGGTCTACAAGCAAGGACATATATATCTATGGATATGGAAATGCTTGTTTTTGCACACCCAGTAGGCATCAGTACTCCACAACGAAGGACTTAATTCCTAGAACATTTCAATTACTCTTTCATGATGGTGGACTTAAGATGAATGTTTGACTGGCTTGCACATCTCCACTATCCTTTTCTAGTTAAAAAAAAGTACATGAAAAATTGATTCCTTTACTGCCTGTGCATCATGCATAGTTTTGTAACTTTTCTATAGCGATGCCTTACAAGGTACCTTGGAAACATCCAATATCAGAGGTAGGCAATCTCCAGCACATGTGCCAAACAGTAGCATGCCGGAACATTTTGTCTAGCATGCACAGCTGAACATTCACCCAAGGAATCATAATGAACCCGAGGTACTGGCAGAACCACTGGCACAAGTGTACATGGGTAAATACAGACTGTCTCCACCACCCCACCATTTTGTTTGCCGGCATTTTTGCAGGTGAACACTGTGGTTGTTTTGACACTTGGCCCAAACAGGCTGCTGACCCCTGCCTGACACTAATGCCCGCCCAAAGGAAGGGGCCTGGGGGGCCAAGGAAAGGGAGGGAGGATGTTCCAACAGCAGTTCATACTGGCAGGATGCCTGAAGTCTGCATGACAAAACCCGACTGGTTCCATCCTCTTCTGGGACTCTGCTATCTGTTTTGTTTCCTTCACCAATCAGCACCTGTTGTGTACCAGCTGTAACTTCCATCCCATTGGGTGTTAACTCAGTTTTCTGTGTCCCCCTATATGTGCTTTAGAGATACTGCCTCATTGCCGACTTCCCCTGTATCTTTCCTCAGTCTGACTACAACATGTAAGAATGTTTGCTTTGAATTTTCCTCTGTGCGTATGACTTCAGTTTCTTTTTAAAGCTTTTTATTTTTCATTATTCATTCACAGTATAAACAGAAAAACAAGAAAATCCACAACCACAACAAACATTCAGTTCTATGACCAGTTTCTGATTGACTGTTACAAGCCCAGAATTGCAGAACTTTTATTTGAACCAGAGAATGACAGGAGGAATGACCAGCAATGGTCTGTCTTTCAAGGGCCGTACCTGGAAATCTGAGAGACCTTTCCAGTCTGGGCAACTATGATAAGTGTCACACGGCTTTGTTCTCGGATGAAAATGTGACAAGGTACAAAGGCAAGTCAGCCACCTCTCCCTTGCCCCACCCCCATCCAAACTCCTGAAATCTTCTAATATAGATTCAGTCACTTGGGAACCATGCAAGCTCGGAGTTCTTGCTTGTATTACACCTTTCACAAGCAATGCAGAAAGGTATTCAGGAGTCTTTCAATTTTCCTGCTTTTTTAACTTCAGAAATGTTTTCTTTATAATGAAGAACAGATTTCTAAAAAGAGGCAAAAACATTTAAATGCTGTGTTAATTCTGAATTCAATTTTACTTGTTTGAAAATCACATCCCTGCATCGTCCGGCGGCACATCCACCTCACTGCTTGGGCTTCTGCTCGGCAAGGTGGTTTGCAGTTAATTATTTGGGGTGGCTTCAGGGCTGACTGGCCTTTCTTCCCATTGCTTGCAACTTAACCGCTTTACAGCTGTGCACCACCTCAAGACCATCATGAGAGGGAAAG